TATATTAAATTTATTAAATTTCTAATTATAAAACCCAAAGTAAAATAATATATTCTTACGTTATAAAAAGATATGATTATATTTCATTATTTTCCTTGTCCTATTTATAATATAATATATATTAAATTTCTAATTATAAAACCCAAAGTAAAATAATATATTCTTACGTTATAAAAAGATATGATTATATTTCATTATTTGTTCCTTGTTCCTTGTCCATATATATCCATCTTCGAAAAGCTCACACATATATCAATGGATATATCATAATGCGTTACCTTGTCATTTGTGTGCATACAAATTACTTATATTTGTTTCTTTTATGTATACTAACCACAAATATTTGCTGTCTTAATAAAATATTAATTAATTTAAACCAAGTTTGTTATATTCTACATATCCTCTCAAAAGATTTTATATAGTTCAAAACATATTATAAAAATTGTTAAATTGACATTATAGAACGATTAGTGAGAAATAGGAAGGGTTTGTTTTTCCAGCCATTTAAGTGCCTGAATATTTTCTGTTCCTTGTAACAAAGGTTTCAAAACCTTCAAACATTTCGCATGATAGTTATTTAAATATTCAATCTGAAATAAGATATATGAAACATAAGAGAGAAAGTGGAATATTTAAATAAAATAAAATATATATGTATATATATATATATATATATATTAGATATATATACCTCCTTATCTGTAAGCATCGATACATCAAGCAGATTGGTTTGAATAGGTACAAGTGTCACAGTTTCAAAAGTAAGGAAACCTCGATTTTTATGATTGTAAGGTGTCTTTGCAGAAACAACTAATTCAATGTTTTCCAATCTAATACCGAATTTTCCGTCTTCATAATATCCTGGTTCTGGTGTTCAAAAATACACACCCACACATTTTTACTTATTTATATCATATCGTTTTTAATTTTTTAATTAATGGCGCATTTGTCTTATATATTTTAATCATACCATTCGATAAAAACATCCCAGGTTGTAAACCTGGATCATCTGGATGTGGCTTCCATGTAATACCGATAGGCTCTTCGTGAACATTAAGATAGGATCCTACTCCATGACCAGTACCATGAAGATAATCAAGGCTATAAAATTAATTCAGTTAGATATATAAAAAATAAATAAATCTTTAATAAAATCCTTTTTTCTTGTTTTATATTTTCATAGAAAAAAGTGTTTACTATACCCAACACTCCATAAGCTTTCACGTGCCAATGTGTCAAGGTAATTTCCTTTTGTTTTTAAAGGAAATATCATTGTCGAAAGACGGCACTGTCCTTTAAATACTCTAGTAAAACATTCACGTTCGAAAATCGTGGGTTCGCCAAAATGTAGAGTTCTCGTTACGTCTGTCGTACCATCCTGATATTGTGCGCCAGAGTCGCAAAGATAAAGTTCTTTATCTGTGATAGGCATATCAGTCTCTGCCGTGGGTGAATAATGAATAACTGCTCCGTGAGGACCAATAGATGATATAGTCGTAAAACTTAATCCAACAAAATGATCTTGCTGCCTTATAAAAGAAAAACAAAGATTCCTTTTGTCCATCTACATTTTACATTGTAAGAAATGCATTATAAAAAATCGTTTTATAAATTGACTTACTGTCTGAATTTTTCCAGTTGCGTCGCACCTGAAATTTCTGTAACGTGCTCTTTTGCATTCTTGATCTTGTCTTCTAACCAAGCAAAATATTTAACGAGAGCGACAGAATCTCTCACATGTGCCTCTTTCATACCCGTTATTTCAATCGGATTTTTTATCGCTTTCATAACGCTAATAGGTGTAATATCTGTATGTTTCTTGATTTCTCCGCAATCCGCATGTAATGCATAACTGGATTTATTGCTAATCCAAATTTTATCTTGATCTGTACATGAATTTACGAGCTCTTTCATATAGACATGTATATCTGTATAAGCATGAAAAATTGGATCGATATCTTCGTTTTTTAATTGCTCTAATGCTTCTTGGCTAAGTCTACTTCTATCTACAAAGACATGTACATCTTTTAGAGTGAGAATAACATACGCAAAGAAGACAGGGTTGAAAGGTATATCAGACCCTCTCCAATTTAATAAGTATGCAATCCCATCCAATGCAGTTACTACAAGTACTGTCACATTGTTCTCTTTCATGGCTTCGCGACATAATCTTACTTTATCTCCTGCACTTTGACCTGAATATCGTAATGATTGAGGCAAGATTACATTGGCCGTAGGTGCTGGTTGTTCATCGGCCCATACTTTATCTACCAAGTTTTCAGAAAGAGGAATTAGACAATGACCAGCAGTAGTTAGACCGGTATGCAATCGTGCCCATTCTGTATAACTTATTAGATTAGCGTCTGCTCCAACTATAGACTTTGGAGGTAAATTTGAAGCCAACCATACGGCAATAGTAGGTGTGTCTAATAAACCTTCTTTCATTAAGGTCCACTCCTCTAACGGATCTAATTCTGACACAGCTTGTGCATAATATCTTCCATCTGTCCACAACAATGCTTTGTCATGCATAACAACGACTGTACCATAAGAACCGCGAAATCCGCTGATAAAACGTCGTCTTTGATCTCGCTCAGTCGAGTATTCTGATTGATGCGCATCCTCTCCATTAACGATTAAAGCCTGGATGCCCTTTTCTCTAATACCACCAACTTGAACATTTTTCATTAATGCTCGAAGCTGTGTTAGCTTCCAAAGTCCATTCCTTTTTACCATCTTTTTTTGCGCCATAAAGAATACTTTATTATTTTACGCTCAACAATGTGAGACAACTAATATAAACGAAAGTGAAAATATTCACATATAACAAAACTTATTTCTTACCTTGAAATATTTCTCGAACACTCCTTTGCCACACTGGTAAGATAAAACACTGTAAAATGATATAGATTTTTATATCTCCTACATTTAAGTGCCATGTTATCAACAGAATAATAAACTTGTCTCTCGTATAATTTTTTGAAAAGATTAGATATATCTCTCTCTTATATTTTCCTGATAAAAAGATAATTGTATATGATAAACTGATTACCTTTATCTTATTGAATGTATGTGTGTATAAATGTATGAAAAATGTCTTGAAGTAAAAGAATCAACTCCACTATTACAGACAATCCTCGACGATGTATATATGTAAAGTATTTTCTTTCTTTTTTTCTTCTTCTTTCTTAAATGGCTTCTGCCCTCGAACTGCCCTCGAACTGCCTCGAACGAGGGTCAATACAACCAGAACCTTTCGTATAATGTCATCAGAAGTGGCGTTAAATGAAAATGTTTTTTTGCACTGTTATGTTTACATAGCCTTTAACAAATATAAAAATCCAAGAATAAAGCCCAAACAAAGAACACACGCATAATGTGTCAAAATACGTTCGTTCCCGTCCGCAGGTGACAACGAACTTGTAAGGTGTTTTGATTTTTGATTATTCGATTTTCAATATATATCATAGACTAATCAAATCATAGATTTAAATATTTAGGATGTGCTTTCCGTTTGATGCCACGAAAGTTTCAAAGTGTTTAATTAACCAATCAGAATAACAAAAATCTTTGTCGCTTTCCTCCCTGATTAGCCAATCAAACGAAACCTATCCTAGTCTGTTTACGTTTAGAAGAAATAACATGGCATTGCAAATCAGATGCGTTTCCATTTTTACCCTATCGCTTTCTCATATGTATGTATGTATATACTCCGCGGTATATTCAAACATATATATAGCGTACAATACACATTCCATTTTTACTCTTTACAACGTCGAGCGACGAATTAAATTTTTTAAAATTTTTTTAAAAAAAAAAAAAAAAAAAAAAACCAACAAATAAATGCATCTCCAGCAAAACTTGAAATGGAAATATCTATTTATAGATTGATACGCACATTTGAATATTTGTGAGGTTACTCGCAAGAAAATACTATTCACTTGATGTTTCAGGCAGCATGTGACTTACGTGTCATATTGTGAAAAGAACACGACAGATTACATCAAATTACACAATGTCAATGGATTTATAATATTGAGTAAATTGTTAACAACCTGTCAGTTATAAATTCTTTCTTTGTGAAACATCTGAGTGATATCTTGGTTGAATATTTATATTCTTATACACTCATTGGAGAAATCAAATCTGATACATATTACATATTTAATTTCTCGACGTTTGTAAAATTAATCCTCGAATAATATTGTATCGTATTCTGCATTATCATGACGCCTAGCCAAAGACGGCAGCGAGGCCTGCAGTATGGAATATTTTTGCTATGTATGCAGGCCCTAAATTTCGGACTGGATAAAATACCACCTGCTACTTTAATTGGAGTTATTGTACAGGTAATTTTTACTATAACAAATACTGTGAGTTTTAATCGCAAAGTTACTAGAACAATATTTGTGTGCAACAAATCAATTAAATGATACATCTTTCTTAAATACTATTTGTATGTGGAAAACATTCTTTTCTTTAAAATGTATATTTCTGTAACCAAATTTCTTCCAAACATGCATAATTATTAATATTATATTTCGTTCTTATTTCGATCACTAATTTGGCACTTGAATATTTATTTTTCAGACTTTGTTGTACACTGGATTGGTACAAGTGCCATGGAATGCGGAGGAAGTATGTATATCGGCTGTAAAAATAATTAAATACAGAGATTGGCGATCGTTTTTTCTTTCAAATTTCGAACATGGATCCGATATGCATCTGTATTATAACATGTTTTCCTTCATTCTAAAAGGATCGTACTTAGAACCCATCTATGGAACAACAAACTTTGTACTTTTACTTTTTATACTATCCACTGGCTGTAGTATTATGTATGTAGCTTTAGGATATACACTGATGCAGTTAACGGGAGATTATGGATATTTTACAACTTGCGCTATTGGCTTTTCCGCAACATTATTTGCATTAAAAGTAATTGTGCTGTGTGAAGAACGTGACAGATTGCATAATGTCAGTGGATTTATAGTACCAAGTAAACTAGCTGTGTGGCTTGAATTGATATTAATACATCTCTTAGTTCCAAATTCCTCCTTGGTTGGACATTTGGGTGGTATCTTAGTTGGATGTTTATATTCTTACACATTTGTTGGAGAAATAATTGATAATTTGATACATATGATAACTGATACACCCATTTTACATGAAGAACCATTTTATAGAAAACGAAACACACAATTTACTTGACATATTCTATAATTACTTAATATATGTAATAAAAATATACATACACAAGTAATTACATAAGTAAAATAAATTATTAATAAATACATGTGATAATTGTAAATAATTATAAATTATAAATTAAAATTATTTTTAATAAATAATTTCGATAAATGATATTTATTCTCATTGATAGTGTTCTCATTTTCTTGAGTATATATAATATTAATGATATAAATTTTTCATGTCGAGGTTGTACATTAAATCAAGTTTTACAAAACACCTAAAAGTTAGATCAAGTATATAATAAATGTCAAATAAAGATCCTTTTCTAAATTTTTTCCTTATTTTTGCATTTTACAAATTTTCATTAAATGTTTGATGCAATAAATAAAGTTTTAAAAATTATTATGTAAATATTCTTGTTATAATAAGATCAAGAATATATTATTTTAATCTTACATTTTAGCATACAGTAGCATTTTTATTTGCAAAAATTATAAGTAAAAGATGCATCACGACTTAGGGGGAAAAAAAAAAGTATATAACAAGGTTCTTTTTTTAGTATATAAAAGGTTTGATGGTACATATATCACAATATACGGATTTTACTTATAAATTGTTTGTAAAATTTTGTACAATTTGTATAGTGTGATATTCGATATATCAGAGGAGCGTTGCGTCGTCATAATCCAATTCGCTGCAAAATAAGCATTGAAAATAAAGAGTGCCCTTATCAAATATGTATATAAATGTTTATAGAGAGACTTACAGATTGCTTTATCATCGATTGGATATGGTATACCATAGAATATAAAATAAGCGCACATTCTAGCTAGAGATATAGTATCAGTCTGTACCATTCCATTAGTAAGATACTGTTTAAATAAAGATTTCATGTCTGTGGAAAATAGAAAAACAAATGAGTCGAATATAACAAAATCATCAGGAAATACAATGCATCAATACAATGTAATGTGCTAATAATTACCATGCTCCCATTTATCAAGAATAACCGCCGTTTTTTGTTTAATCGCAAGCATACTTTCCAAACTGAGTAACAAATTTGCATCATCTTCAGAATTAATTCTTTTCGACAGTTGCGATGAAAGAAGCTTTATTTGCCATACTGAAAAGCTGTTTGGTTCTTCCTCGATAACTTTCAGATCTTTAATTATACGCAACCATAATGGTATAAGATTTATTTTATCCTTTGTAATGCATTCATACACTATTATTGCAAATACATGAAGAAAATATTGTTCGAATTCTGGCATTTTCCATTGAACATCTATAAATTTACAAATAATGTCGTTCGATAAAAGTGTCATTATGCAAAACACACTGCTTGGAATATAATTGAGTCATTGTTTACTAATCTCTTCAATTAAGATTTATATTAAGACTACAACTGAATCTCGTACCATTTTGTGATGCGTTCTTAATATTTTCATTAGGATTGATTTCTCTTTTAGACCATTGTAAAAAATATGTTATTATGTTCAGTACAGTCTTATCATTTGTAAACGATGTAACGTACTCTGGCCGAGCAGCCCATGCGGTTGCATTTTCCGTCGTTAGAGTTTGGGCCACTAAGCTTCTAAATCCCTATAATAAAATGAGAAATTAATTATATAACTTATTATATGTTTATATTCGCGCTTATCATTGAAAGCAAATAATGAAAGAGAAATATGCATAAATATAAATGAAAGTGACGATATCTTACACGAGGATCTTCCAGGTACGATAAACAACCAGCTCTTTGCTTAATACTTAAGAAATCGTGTCGTTCCAGCATGTTTTCTAATTGTTGCCAATTGTGATGCTTCTCAAATATAATTGTCCAATACCTTGTATCTTTCAATACAATTTTTTTTAAGCTACATAATTGTGGTAATAAACAAGGTGCTTGTAGACTAATCTCTTGTCCTTCTGCCTCCCTGTCAGTCTCGAATGTTAAATTTATCGTCGCGTAGCAATACTGACCGGTATCTATGTCTCTTGGTAAGATAATACGTGGTTCAGCGGCTAATACATACAAATGACGTAATGCTTGTAAATGATCCCTGCCACAATAATATAAATATCAAAATATATTGTTTAAATATGAAATCTTCTTTAGTAAGCTTATAATCTAAGAAAAAACATAAGTTAATTTAAATTGTTCATTTCTATTACTGTCTTTCCCCTAAACGAAAATTGTTTTTTTCTAAAAAATCAATATAGTTATATATCTTTTAAAGATAGGATAGAGGATTATGCAATTTACAAAATACATGCATAATACAAACCTGTTGTCATTGCTGTGAGTTGGAAATTTCGGAAAAAGCGAAATTATAAGAGCTGCCTATATATATACAATATATATTAAATAGTCCATAAATTCTCTGTCACAACTGTCATACCCGTTATGAATATCGAGACTTACATCCAAGTCACCGGTACCCGCCATTACCACTGCTGTTGAAAGCAGAACAACGTTCAGACACGTTTCAACAGTTGATTTGCCAGCCAATTCGGCTATAGTTTTATGCGACAATGCCGTAAACATTTGAGCGTAATTGTACAAAGTCTTGAAAGCATTTTTATTAGCAGTGCCTGCATATCTTAATCCCAATGCCATGCAAGCACCAGCTATAATGTTGCAGTAAGCCTGGCTGTAAATTATATATTATTAATAACATGATTAGATAATAAAGATAAAATACAAAAATAAATAAACAAAATTAAAAAAAAATTACAAATTCTTTAAGAAATACAAGATATGATCACTCACTTGATAGTTTCCAAATCCACATTCTGTGTAACTTCCGGCGTAGGTTTTTGCAATCTGTATTTATAAACGATATTAGGCACATGACTAGAAATCCACGATTTGGTTGGCTCGATATCCTCCCATAAAATTAGCGACTTGGCGAGCACTCGTAGCAGCAGAAAATCTGGCCTTACAAATTCTAATAAATACTGCGTGTCGGGAGGTTGCATCCACTCGGCTACCGCACGATTTCCAGTATTAAAGTACATTAATCCTAAGGCTATTGTTGCTCCCGGGCTTGTTACATCGATATTTATCGAGTCACCTTCCCGTATTTGATAACTACAAAGTAACAAAAAAGTCCAATTTCTAAACTCTTGAAAACTTGAATGCCGTGGTAACGGATGTTCGTGAAAATAGATTTGCCTACTTTATCTCAAAAGTTTGCTTTTCATGAAAAATATATTAATTTATTTTTAATTTTCCAAGATATCAAAAGAAACATCTTTATTTTTTTTCAATTTAAAGGTGTTATTTTTATTTTAAATTTCGTGAAATATTATACATGTAACTTTGTATTAGTCAAATGGATTCTTGCTTCTCGCGAATATACATATCCATTTTTTAAAAGAATTAGAGAAGAATCAATGAGAAGAAGAGATGCTGTACAAACTTGATTATACCTCGGTGACTTGTATTTATCTTTTTGTGCTCCAGAGAAAGGTCTTGTGTGTCCACCGACCATGTAATAGTGCAAAGTATCGGGTATGCTTGCAGGTACATCTGCTCCACCACCAGAACCAAGTATTACCAAGCCTAATGCCAGTCCTGCTGCCAAGGAATATGATTCACGGTCCACACAATTTTTCATTTCAGGTCCTGGAGGTCTACCTACAAAAATAAGTTTAACATATTAACATATGTTAATACATATTTTATACATTGGAAAGTGTATATCTACTAGAAAAAAGAAATAACTCGACAAAACTTTTATCTCTTCCGTTTAATTGTAAATTGATTAAATTTCTAGTATCATGTTTGCATAGCTTTCATTTCTTTATCTATATTACAATTATCTCTTTGAATATCATGTTTTATCATTTTTAAAACAAAAATGGGGAAAAGATGTTTAAACTTCTTCTTTCTCAGCATACTTCGCATTTCGTTAAAAATTTTTTGAATATTGATGTTTGCAAATATATTGGGGTTTGTAAAATTATGTCTCCAAGGACGTGTATTATATACTTATATAATTACCGATTTCAGATAATAAAGCATGTGAAATATGTCTATGAGCAGTTCCTTGGTATACAAGACCAACGCCCATCAATGCCGCTATTTGGACATTTTGTTGTACATTTAATTCGATACTCGTCGGTGGCAGAAGCGTTTCCACGTGTAACGATAATAGCTTAGTCATAGATACGTTCATTGTGCCGCGATGTGTCGCTGACAAGCCCAGCAAGAGCCCAACGCTAGTAGCTTCATGACAATCAGCTAAATATTCGTATGTACTTAAAGGAGCTAAATTTTTCAGATGTCCATTTAAACCGAGAGCCATTAAAAATCCCGAGTGTTCCACTCCATATTCACCCTGTTGCTGTTTATTGTATACTATCCATGTCGAATCAATGTTCGCGGCATCCGGATGAATACATAGGCCTGCGGCTACGCCGTTATGAAATAGCGGCCACAGATTCATATTTGGCGCAACATCTATGTGAGTTAACTCGACGGTAGTTCCACGAGGAGGTGCCTTGCCTGTGATGAGAATGAAAAACAATAAGTTAGTTTTTCTATATAATAATTAGTAAAAATAGAAATAGCCTACTTTTATTACAACTAAAAGCGTCTGCTTTCTTTACTTGATAACTTTCAACTTACGTCTATTCGTTTTAGCTTAATTTTTATGAAATAAATATATATTTTTATGCTCTAAAAAGGGAAAATAAATAAGAGCAAAGTGTAGAAATACAAACTTAATATAATATTCATAAAAAAATATTAATTTGAAGTTTTATATTTGAAGTACGATACAATCATACCTGTTAAACACAATCGTGGAATGGGTAATTGCTCTGTTATCATCGGTGTGGAAGTTCTCAATGTAAACATGCCTCTAGCTACCGGTAATGCCATTGTTCTTGTGCATAATGTGTGCAAATGTCTTTCTTGCTCTTCTATAAATTCGTGATCGCTTACGTTCGATCTTTGGATTATCGCGATCCTTACTGGTTTCGAAGAATTGAGCAGTCTTCGCACTTCAGCGACTCTATGATCCTTACTAAATCGTAACTTTAATATCTGCAAAAATGAACAGAGTACAAGAGAATAGTTGCATGAATATTTAATATATGAAATAAACTATAAAAATGCTAGTTATATATGCAAAACATTCTGTATAAAACGAAAAAAATGACATATTGATCAAAACTAGATATCATAAAAAAATGTATATGTTAATATAAAATAATTTTGTAAAACATTGTATAGAAGAGGAAACAAAATGTAGGAAATTGCATGTGTATATATATATATATATACATACATATACATACACACACATACACACATACCATATCATCAAATTCCATGCCATCATCTTGTTCATCCTTTATTCCATAATCCTTTGTTTCGCCGTCGATATATTGTAATTTTGACGATGGTTTTAAATGTTTATCTAATGCGGCTAAATCTTGACGATCTACGAGCTCGTATGCATGCATAGGCCAATTTGGTGGTGGGCATTCTCTACATCTATGCATGACATCTTTTATTATCAGGGATATCGCAGGTGGCAATATCTCGAGATCTTCTTTTGTCATACCTAAAATTAGAGTTTGTTTTATATTTTTGGGGATGGGGGAAAGAGAAAGGAAATAAAATTTCTTACGATCTCTGAGTATATATATATATATAGCTATTGTAAAGAGAATGATCTTACCCATCTCATGATACAATAATATTATTCTATCTGTTGCAGGTCTCTCCAGTTTTTTCAATATCTTTTTATCAGACTTGCCTCCACTTTTTTGAAGATCGATGCGACTTCCAGCAGGTATAATTAATTTGATATACTTTTCCACTTCTATTACATCAACATGGTTTTCATTTGCCACAAGTACTGTTAAATATATTATATTTCTTGTTTTTGGATTAACGTGACTTAAATATGGGAATGCAGTTGTTTCTATTCCATTCAACATATTATTTAATGTTTCAAATATGTTCGGCGGTTTTCGAGAGATATAATTTGGAATTGTTATTTTCTGTAAATCCGAGTCACTGATCTGAGATTTTACGCTTTTTAAATAACATAACGATGGGGAGTCAAGAAAATAATGATGAGCGTACATCTCGAACTTCAAATCTATGCTCAATTGATACAGTAACTGTCCGAGTAATGGTAAACTTTCCGATATAACGCTGTTTAATTTCAATTCCTCGTATAAGAGGTGAAGAGAAAATAAAACGAGCGGAAGATGTGGATATAGAACGGCTTGTACATTTATTTTGCCAATGCTATTTGATTCTGTAGCACTTTTGGGAATCGTGCAAAGGACGCTAGATATCTTTTGACTTTTTAGTACATTCGAGATAAACGTTCGGGAATTTTTTAATTCATTTGATTCCAATATGTACAGCCAATCATCTGTAGATCCACAATTGTTGGTTTTCTGTTTTTTAGGCAGCACTGTAGGACTATTACGTTCTGTAAATTGATCTTTCTCGTTGTTTTGTATTAAATGTAATTTCTCCACATCATATCCCATTAATGTGAACAGAACCACAAGAAAGAGATCCCATTCTTGCACTGGTGAAAAATCTTGCGGACCAGGGGCATTTCTAGCACCGTACCATTTAACCAATAATTGCATTGCTAAATCTCTTTGAAGCACACTTCGTAATGTATGTAAACATTTAGTAACTATAAAAGATATATTTATCTTATTTTCTAAAGTTTGTAAAATATATTAATTTATTCGCGCATTTTCTTATACATCAATAACATTTTGCGCGAAAACTTACACCTACTTACCTAAAGGAGATGTGCTAGACACAGGTAATGTTATACGAAAATATTGTTTTTTTCCGCATTCCACGGTAATCTCATTGCCTACAGCGTCTTTCAACGCAAGAAAATTTGTATCCAGTAAGGAATTTTCCAAGAGTATTGGCGGACGAGCGCAATTACCACCTACAGGACTTAGTAAATGTAAGCTCTCTTCAAATTTAATTTCATGCAAAGGTGCACTATTTTGACAAATCAAGGAACTTCGTCTTGGAAATGGAGATGCAAGCTTAGAATTACTATTTGATAAAAAGTAATTACTGCCCGTAAGATTCGACAGTATACCAGATATATGTAATTTGCCCACACACGTAACTCCTGTATATAATGCTATACCATTTGACAAATCTACAATTGCTATCATGTGCAAATTCTGGAAAAAAAGAAAAAATAGAATTTGTTATTCAAGTATCAATTATGTTGATATAAGGAGTCTATAATATGTACTAACTGGCAAATTAACAGCATCCTTGGCCGCAATGCTTGTTACCATTCCAAAAATGATTTGTTGTTGTTTATTAGTTTTTTCTAATCTCACTAGAAATAGTTGCAAACGATTTGGAACCAAATAGCCCAAATAACTCTGTCCAACAAGGTCCAATGTTAAGAAAACCTTTGATGCACGACCATAAATAATATCTCTAAAGAAATAATGAACGATGAGTGTACATCATAACATATAGAGTATTGAGAAATATATGTATTTGTCGTTCAACATTTGAAAATGTAAGAAGTCGATATTTCTTTTCAAAATAAATGAGAAAGAATTAGTAAACATATAATTGCAAAATTTCTAAGTTTACAACTGTATAAAGAAGTTCAATTAAATGTAAATCTATAGATTCGAGTTATTATTCTATGATATCCTTTCTGCATATATATAATAAATAAAACTTAAATTATTAATTTAAATTCCTTAATTATACAAACTTCCGTTACTTACTTTGATACACCAATGTTTTCTGTCCATACATGTTCAAGACAAACTTCAGGATATAAAGGTTTGCTTGCAATTGCAGCATCTTTTAATCGGATATTGTTGTAACTAGCCATTGGACTATGTATTTGACTCGAGGTAGTTATCATAACAGTCTGATGTAACCTGCTATGATAGATATTTGAATTTGCAGGTACTCCAAGCAGAGGAGACAAAGCTGCTGAATGCGTGGGCGATTGACAACGAGAAATGGTAGCCATAGAGCTTTGTGAACGCGAGTGCTGTTGTTGCTGAGAAGGTGATGGTCCACCAGAAGCAGTACTATAAGAGGCAGTACGCGATCCAAATGGAGTATTAGATAGTCCTAGACCTATACCAGTATTGTTACTCATTTGTAAATTTGGAATTCCTGAAATATATTTATTCACATATTATTAATTTTTATTAATTTTTTTTTACACAATTCTTTTGTTTTTATTTGATTTTACCATAAGTATATTTGTAACAGCTGTAGCAAAAAAAAATTTTATATTTAACAATATTGTATACACAAAAAACCGCGAGTTATATCAAAGAATTGTAAAAAAAAATGGTTATGCTCAATGAAACATTTATATACATTATGATAAAATTAAATCCGGGACATTCCATTATGCATGCATGTATATATATGCTGTATATATATGCTATACATGAATATGTTTTTACCAAGAAGAAAGGGACTTTGATGTCCTTTGTTGGCGTAGGTTTTATTGATGGATAAATTGCTGCCAATATTTAACGATGACATATTAATTGAATGATTTAGTAAACTCGTGTCATTACTGCCACAAACTATTTGGCATTCTTCAGCTAACGCTTTGCGAATTTTGTAAACTGAATGTAAGTTAGACTTTGTATCATATATGACTGCCAACGATGGTTCTGAACTAGTAAATATAATTTGCTGAGTTGATTCATTCATGTACGACAAAGATCCTAAAATATTTAATTCAATTGTACATATAATATATTAAAAATTAATCTGGCTTAAATTTATTTTTATGTAAATTGCATAAATACATATGACATTTTGCATAATTTATTATTTTTCACATATTTAATTTTTAAGATATTATTTACCATGTTTAATAAGCAGAGGGCAAATCTCATCTAATGGATGCATTAATGAAAAAGCTATAGGTAAATTATCATTTTGAGTTGGTAATCTGCTGTTTTCAAATGATATATACCTGCAAATAAAATATAAATACAACGTAAAAATGTAACAATAAAAAATGGTTTTTTTTTATTATTAATAAATTATATATATACCTTGAATCTGTAATTGGCACTTGACATTTTTCAAGTATAATTCCATATTTTGTCGGCCATACCGCAGAAACCTAAGTCAATTAATATATTACAATTGTGACAAATTAATATCTCCAATTTATTTAATGATTGTATTAATTTTACTGTAAATATAGCTGCCATTTTCAAAAAAAATATATATAAGCAATAGTTTTATTAAATAATATAAGTTTTTTGTCTTCAATAAAGTTTAGCTGAACTTGAATTTTAATATTATACATTTTTTGATACTCGTATCTATGCGAGTTTTCGAATGTAAAAAAATACAATATCATTGAATCAATCAAAGTTTTGTTAAAGAAAAAGTTTTCTGTCTTTACCTGAAATTGTAAAGTAGAAACATAATCTTCGCCACATTCTGTAAAAACCTTAAGAGTATATGAATCAAGCAGGCAGATACACTCTAAAGATTTGTGAATAGAGCCCTCAGCCTCATATTCTTTACCCTTAGTTAAATGATCCGGAATACTCGTGTGAAATATACACCAAAGGGCATGTTTAATATCTGTTTCACAGGTATAGGTTGCTTCGAGTATTCGAGTATTTTGATTGCCCTTGCAGTGAACAGCAACTTTACCCGAGTAATATAATTCTTCTTCTCCATATGTTTGATTACTGCGTACCAACCATGCCTCTTTCTAAATAAATACAATTTTTCATTAAGTGTTATTTCAAAAGATGGAAAAGAGGAAATTATGAGAGATGACAGTTATTAGGAGACATAATTTTTTTTTTCAAGTTTAATTTAGTTTTTTAAATTTGATTTTACCAATATGCATACAACTCCCATGTTCAAGAATATGTAATGAAGCAATATCAAAATATTGTTAATTATAATCTGTTTCTTTTATCTCCTTATAACCCCATTTTCATTTCTTTACTGCTTTCCAAAATCTTACAGGAGACTTTTCCGATATATTTACTTCACTAAACCTTTTTAGTAAAATATTTTCTCCACCAGTTGTTTGATTATTGGATAACTGTTGACTAATTAACGATCCAGGATGGTTTAAGATTATCTGTCGGCCACCTGGCGTATATTCCTAAAAAAAAAGACAAAATATCAAGTTTATACATGTATATAATTATTATTTTATCGTTCAATTACTCCATAAATTTTACTAATATGAATTAAAAATAATTTAATTAAATCTCTTTTTCCTTTTGTTATTATTTATATAAAACAGTATATTTACATTATAATATTAAATTACATATATCATATTTATAATGATAGTTATTCACCCAACATTATAAGACTTAAAGATTAACAAAATTGCAAATTATCGTTTATAAACCAATAATTCTTGGAAATACAAACAAAAAGAGAAATTTATGTATAAATCAGTACATATTTTTGAAATGTTCTAATTTATATTGAAATCATTATTAATCTATAGAAAACAATGTGTTCAAATATAACAATAGATGTATAAAGAAATCGTATGCAATAAACTTAACCTAAGCTTGAAAATTCCAACAGAAAAATAATACATAGACACCTGTCTAAAATAAAACAAAGGGAACAAATAATATCTCAAGTCACTTGTTATTATACCTCCACAATGTGATATATTATTAAAGAGATTAGAGAAAGCTTAATTATAAAAGAAAAATTTAGCAGTCATGTATATCTTTACATTATGCTGTGATATTACTTTAAGACAAATGTGTTTTTGCCTATATCTATATTATTAAAAAGCGTATTTTCTTAATTTAATCATATGATTAAATATATATAATGACAAATTTATAACAATCAATGTTTTACCACCGGTTCTGAGGCGGCGATCATCTTCTCCCTGGTTTCATCCAGATTTGCTGACTATGTTTACGAATATACGAAAAATCAATACCCGCTAACTTTTTTCTTAGACAATGCTGCATACAAATCGTACAAAATAACACGATAAAAGTTTTCGAGAGACAAATCGTATACAAATCATCAAAAACCACATCATCTTTAAACAGTACCGCCCAGAGAGAAGCCTGAGAGATAAAGAGAAGCCATGCCGGCGTTTTTCATGAAACGAGACGCACCAGGTGACGATTTTACCAACAGTAGCAAAAAAAGAATGTAGCACGGACACGTAGTAAATATAGGTGACTATTTAAAATTTAAACGACAGTATCGAAAAGTGGATGTGCTTCCAATTCGCACAAAACCTCTCTCATTGTCAGACTTCTCCCTGGTATAATAATATATGCAATATATATGTATATACAAATTTATGCACATGTAGCTGCTTCCAGAAAATACAATGGCTGCGAAAACAATCTCGATCAAATAATCGGTTATTTAAAAACTAATTTAACTGTTTAATTATGTTTTTTTTTTTTTTTAATGCAGCCTATGATACATTATAT